TCTTCTAATCGGAACCTTTTCGACACGTAGTATGTAGGTCAACAGGGAAAGGGACAAAAAAGACATTTTATGGAGCTATCGCAAGATACGGGGGCATCCTCTACGCCTAGGAGTGGGCAAGAACTTATTATTGGAGGAATGAAACTCGCTCACGCACCCTTGAAGTCTTCTGCCTCGCCTAAGGCTTTGTCCCGATTTTGGCGAAAAGGGGATTTTCACGTGGTTTCAAACGCATCGCTGTCATACTGCCCGCCTTATCTTGCGATAACGCCCATTTTATCTCCATATTTGAAACGGACTGAATCACACTTTGCTAAATTTAAACCGTGCTCGCAGCTAAAATTTGTGGAGTGATTTTCGTTCTATAAAAAGTCCCATTATGGCCTTCTTCACCGATGACATCAGAAGAATCTGTCACGAAAACATGATGCTCAGTCCAAGCGCAACGGGTCCTTGATGGATCGTGGACCATCACGACTTTTTCTGAATGACTAGCCGGGAGGAGTTTGCATGGGCAATTTTTCTAGGAAACTATCCACCCATGAATCGATTCATCAAGCCATGTGGCAGCTCCAGGCTGGACTACGGTAGGCCTCCTTGGGCTCGATGTGCACATCCTGAAGACGGTGAGGACAGTGGAGGGGGGCTCACCTATACTCTTCTACATAGAGGGACATTTCAGGAGTACCGTAGTGTAATATTCCGTCAACGGCGGCAATCTACGTGGCGAAAAATGTGCGACAAAGGGAAAACGTCTTCTTTTGGCTCCTCTGTATTTGTTGTCATGCTCGCTGTCGCTTTTGCGACAGTTACTGTGTCACAGGTCAAAAGCGTTAGTCCCCATGCACCAGCTGAAGCTCCTGATTCTTTTTTCTGTGTCTTTTTTTTTGGAAATTCTCTTATTGGTTGCACTGTCCCTTAATCAGTGGGTCTGACGTAAGTCATGCATTCGAATTCTACGGCGATGAGTACACCGTATTCAGGGCTGTATGAGAGGCATTTATGGCACTGTAATATCTATGAGCAAGGCCAATCAAAAGAGAGGCGCACTTTTAGACAGTTATTTCCAACAGAAATGATTAGGACGCCGTTTTACTTGAGGAGGAATTCACGATTAGAATGAAGGTCGAAGAAAGGGAAACTGACCTAGTTGAGGGACCCACGGACCTCCTGAGGGTGCGAACTGACGCGCAATTCGCATGGAAAAATTTGACCTCGGCGACCTATCATGCCTCAAAGCTGGCGGGTCCGGCGATCTCCGCCCACCGATCATCTGATCACTCGCCGTAGTTCAATACGTGGCGAGTGATTAGATAGCGAGAGCGTAGTGTTGAAGAGGGCACAGCGATGAGAGTCGCATCAATGCTCGAATCAACGGGCAAGGAAGGGGTACCATTTCTCGGGTTCTGGGCCGTTTCTCATGGTTCTTCCTTCTTTCGTGTACCACTCACCATCCCTAGGTTAATTTGAAATGGGTTGCTTTTCATCGTGAATTCGTCCTTTAAAAATCATTACTTTCGGAACGATAGAATGACTTTTCGAAGCTCACGTGTAACTATATATAGCAGATGGCCAGGATATCGGCTGAGCTGCTTTCTGAGAACAATCTTGATATCGTAGAAGATTTGCGGTCTCATAACTCGCCGAACGGTTGAATTTCGAGAACTCACACTTCATATGGCCACTTCCTTCATCGCAAACCAGGTTCGCTCCATGTGATCGGTAAGAGGAGTGTCCACTAATAGGTTAGATTCATCGCGGACAAGATGTAAGGTATCTTAATAACCAACAGCTTAAAATTGTTGTTAAATAAAATTGAGTAATTTGGCACAAGAAGTGGCAAATGCACCAATTTTGTCTAAAACACGCTACCTTCGTGCAACTTTCGCCAGAATCATCAAAAATCCATCAAAAACAACCCTCTTTCTGCGACCTCGGTTCGCACTTTTTCCAGAAAAAGTTGACCTTCCAACCTATCGAATGTAACCCGCCCCCCCCCCCCTTCCCCAAATCACTCGCTACGGCCTTGTTCAAACGGATGGTTGTTTCTGATAGGACTCATACGACTGATGTTTTGACTTATACCGTCTTCCACAAAGCCTGTGAAAGTGTAAATAAATACAGCAACATCTCTCTACCTTTACCCCGCTCCATTCAATAGTAAGTCATTTTCGACATGTGTAAAGAATAGTCTTATCAGAAAAAGTACGCTTACGCTATGGATGTCGAATAGGAAAGCTTGAAGGATATACAGTATCAACTATTTTGAAGAATTCTAGTAACTAGCGTGAAGGACTACCTTATATTGGTAGTCTTCCTTGGCTAAAGCGAACTTTTCCATTTCAAAATCGTTGGCAGTATCAGCATAGCTATACTCGTGTGTGGAGAAATCCGTGCTTGCAATAGGTACCCGTGCCAAATTGTATTCGATACCTAAACACGAACGGTGATATGAATGAGAATTTTACGAAACTCTGAATAGAACATTCTTAAACGATTGATCTGAATATCACAA